GAAAACCTCTAGCCAAGAACCGCCTAGATCAGACTGGCCTGTAATCATGCCTGTGGGCAATTATCTTGACCGTTAATTGACGTAGGAGGGTCAGCCCACTGTGAGAGGCGCCATTCCCTGGGCTGTGTAAGGATGCTGGCTAGGCATGGGTGTCTGAGTGAGCCAGCAAGCAGCGTTCCAGCTTCAAGTTCTCGCCTTGGCTTTCCTTAATGATGGACTATAACCTGTAAGCTCAAATAAACAGGTTTATCCCTAAACTACCTTTGTCAGAGAGTTTTGTCAAGTGCTTACAATGACATCCAAGCCCCAGGTACAGTCCTGGCACAGCTCTTGTCCACTGTCTTTAGGGAACAAGGTGGCAAAGCTGGGGAAAAAATGTTGCAGCTGGGCCACACATAGCTCCTACTCTTGCCTCATAGCCATCCCACATCCAAACCAAGTGTTCCACAGCTGTCCTCCACCCAACCTGTATCCTCCACAGCTGGCCTCCACAAAAGGATTACCAGTGGGAAACAGAAAGAGCCATAGCAGAAAGGGCAGGGTAGTGGAGAAGAAGCCACATGGGAAAGGGACAAAGTGAGGAGAGCAAGTTCGGGTCCGGAGGAGAAGCGCTGAACAGATTTTGGGGTCCAGACACCCTCGACAGGATGGGAACAAAGGAGGAAGGCTTGCTGGTGACCACTGAAGAAGGAGATCATCAAATACACAGCAGCCATTTCCTGTCTCGTGTGAGATAAACAATAGGCTCAAACAAAGCTCACAAAGCCATCCAGTGCTCAAAGCATCCAGACACAAACTGATATTCTAGGGAACATCACCGTCCAAATTAGTCATTACGTCTTGGGGACACAGAAGGCAGGAAGCGAGGGACTGGAGTGAGACGTAATCCTTGCTAGTCCTCTTGTGGCGGGTGGGTGAGCGGGGCTTTCTTACAGGTGGGGACAGCAAATATCCTGCTGGCCTGCCCCACGTGGCTTCTGAGACAAGATCACTTAATTCAGGGTGGCAGGGCTTTGCTCAGCATTTCTAATTGGTGTAACAAGGGGTGCATGCCACCGGACCTCCAAGAGGTCAACTCCACGCTACTGCGTGCTAAGACCCTCTCACAAACAACTTCTGAGGCTCAACTTCCCTGGGAACAGTGGGCGAAGGGACCTTGGTGCGGTGATTTCAACACAAAAGAGCCACCTTTCAAAACAAAGCAAGAAAAGACACTTCCCGCTCTGCGTCCTTAACCTCGGCTGCTAAACTGTCCGGTTTAGAATCACCATGGAAACAAGCCTCTGGGCGTGTCAGCAGACAGATTACAAAGATCAGGCTAATTGAGCTGGGGAAAAAAAAAGTGCAAATGTGGGCGGCACAACACCCCGGGCTGGAGTCCTGGTCAGCTAGGTGCCATCATTCATCCTCCTGTTTCCTGATTTCCAGTCACCTTGACCACTTGCTTCAAGCTCACGGACCATGACTTCCATCATGATGGATTATACTTTGAAATCGTGAGCCGAAATAAGCTCTTCCAGCCTGAGGTTGCTTCTGTGGGGTATCTTGTTACAACAAGAAAAGTAATTGATAACACATACCAACAACGAAAAAAAAATTAAACCTTTAAACACATACACAAAATCCCAAAAGTTGTCGCCTACAAACCTCACAAAAGGATGATGTGAATGGATATATATATTCAGGGAGATGAGAAATGATTCCAGATTCGAGAAAGAATAATCCCAAAGTCCAACAAAAAAAGGTGAATAGACATGAGAGAAAAATCTATATCAAAGCTATAAGACAAGGGTGTCTAATTTTAGGGAGAAAATAGGGTCAAGAAAAACACAAGAAAATTATAGTGTGTAAGCTGGGAGAGGTAACGATTAACAGTAAATCAGTTTGTGGTTCTGTATTGTTTGGGAGGAGGGGGAAACACTGGTTAATTTTAGACTTTAATATAGCTGTTAAAATATCCGGGGCAACCGCTGAGAACAGGCACAGAACACACAGATTCTAATTAAGATAGAACCTGGAGCAAAGGAGGAAAGCCCTGCAGAGTAAAAAACAGACAAGTTACAAACACATTCACAGGAGACAGGGGGCCCCAATCCGTCGTTAAGCTATGCAGCAAATCTTTTTTCTAATGGTTGTTTGAGTCAGACTCTCAACCAGCAGCTCCGGCAGGCCTTGAGCTCAGAATCCTCCTGCCTCAGCTTCTTGAGCGCTGGGGTTGACAGCTAATCTACCTGGCTAGATAGATAAACAAATAACCAAAGAGACAAGAAAACTACCACAGAGCCATGTTCCAGGCTCACCTTCCTCTCAGTGAGTAACAGATGAGCCATACAGAATCCGGAAAGGATGCCATCCAGATGATCTGAGCTGCACCAACAAAGGTCTGGTGGTGCAGGCCTTTAGTCCCGGCACTCGGGGAGGCAGAGGATGAAGTATTTCTGAGGCCAGCCTGGTCTACATGGTGAGTTCTAGGTTACACAGGGAGACCCTGTCTCAAACACAAGCAAGCAAACAAAACCAAAGTCACAAGTCATGTAGACAAAACTAAATGCAGTAATAAAAGAACACATTATTTTATGGACTGTGACTTGTGTTTGTTGCTTTGTGGGTTCTTCTTTTTCCACTCTTTAGCCTCCCCGGTTTCACCCCCTCTCACTAGATAGGAGAGAAAAAAGGATAGAAGGTAACGGAAAGGGATCCCTGAACACAGTCAGGGGTTGGAAAGGGGGGACATCATCGTTAGGCCACTTCCTGTTGATTAGGGGCGTCGAGCTCCTTGGGGCAAGTCTGATCTTCACCAGTTTCTTGTTTCTTCTTTGCACCCAACTACGTAACAAACCTCAACCAACAACCAGCAACAACCAACCAACAACCCACCTGTCAGGGCCCTAGCATTTATACACCCCCAAAAAGTCCCCATGATTCCAAACATCGCGCAATCGCAGAAACTTTCTGCAGCTGGCAAAACCAGAGCCAGCTAGAGCATGAGCTAAGTCACTGTCAGCTGCTGTGAAGCAGAACCGGATCCCCACGCCCTCGACCCAAACAAAAACATATTCTTATAATATTTTTGTTGTGTGTTTTTTTTTTTAAAAAAAACGAATTCTAAAATTATCTCTACAACGAGCTTATAGAGTATTTAAGAAAAATTGAAGAGTGTTGAAGAGAGGGTTTTCTGTAACCCGTGTTTTTCACCCACAAGAGATATAGTATAAAGAATTCTACAGAAAAAAAAAAGAATAAAAAAAATTAAAAAAAAAAGAATTCTACAAGAATAGTTTGATACTCATTGCAAACTCTCTCAGGAAGTCTAAAACCAATCTACAGAGGCAACTAACCTAGGTCTGTCTATCTGTCTATGTGTGTGTCTTTCTCCCCACCCCTCTTTTTCCTCCTCTTCCTCCTTCTTAGTCTTTTCTTTGAGAAAGGCTCTCTATTATCCACGGCTGGCCTGGACACCGCCTGCCTCAGCGAATGAAGAATGAAAGACTCCTGAAGGATGGTAAATGCAAGCGGAAGAAGCAAGGGACAAGGCAGACCCTAGAACTAATGAAGTCCTTTCCAACTCAGACAGGACAAAGGGGCAAGGTGAGTGAGTGACACCAGTGTCTAGGAATGATTTATGCCCAAAAGAGGGGGTAGTGTCATGGCATACTTCCCCAAATCCAAAGACAGAGGAGAGTCTGGAAGAGGAGGCTGAGGGTCCAGGCGGCAGGGAAGGATCAGAAATTACAGAGAAAAGTCATTCCCGGAGCTAAGAAGAATTTCCTACCAAGTGTCTGTGGCAGTCAGTCTTGACAAAACCTAGAATCACTAATCACAGACTTCTGGGTCTCTGAGTATATCCGGGAAGTTTCAGGCAAGGAGTGGTGACCCACACTGAATGTGGGTGACAGGATCCCATGTCCCGGGGTCTCAGTAAGTGGACAGAGGAGCGTGGGCTGAACACCAGCACTCAGCGCCCTCTGCTTCCTGGCTTCAGACACTGTAAGCCCTTCGGCCTCACGCTCTGGCTGCCACATCTTTGTCTCCGTGATGGTCTGGACCCCTCACAGACTGCAAAGCCAAAGTGAACCCTTCCCTCCGTAAGTCGGTTCCGTCAGGCCTTGCGTCACCACAACAGGAGAGCAACTAATGTTCTCACCAACGCCATTTCCAATCTAAGATATCCTTTGACCTGTGAGGAACACAGGTCTTTCTAGCATTAACAGGAGTCGTGGACTCCTAGACAGACTAATCGTTGCTGAGGGGACAGCAATTCCAGCCAGAGACTTTTTTTTAAAGGTTTGCTTATTGTCATCTCTCCAGCTCCACATCTCAGAGGTCCACTCATTCCAAAGCCCCTAAAAGACCCAAGCACAGCCCCAGGCTCAGGAGCTCTGAGTCCTTTCTGCCCCTATTTGGCCTTTCAGTCACCAAAATGAGCACAACTTGCCTCGTTAGGCCAACACACTCCCCATGTATGTGTGCGTGTGACTGCCTGGGCACGTGCGCATAGAATGTACACGAAGGGCAGAAGTCAACCTTGGGTGTCCCTCATCAGGTGTCTTCCATCTTTTGTCTCTCACTGGGCTGGAACATCCCCCCAGGATGTTAAGCTTGGTCCTGAGCGAGGTCCAGGAATCCGCCTGCCTCCAAGGCCCACCTTTCTGTCCCTGGGACTATGGGAGCTTGTCAGAGTACCTGGCTGTTCCAACAAGCCATCTCTCCAGTCCCAACACACATATTTTTTTGTTTGTTAGTTTGTTTTTGAGCCATACTCTTACTGTGCGTAGCTTTGGCTGGCCTGGAACTCGCTATGTAGATCAGGCTAGCCTTGAACTCATAGTACGCTGTCTGCCTCCCAAGTGTTGGGATTAAACTCCTTGGCTGTGCACGAGTCTTTTAAGTCTACCCTTCCCCCAGCACCTCCTGTTCTTCCAGCGCATCACGAGGGCCCAAAACAGCATATACAAATCGTTTAAACGAAGCATCTTCTTCGAACAAGCAAGCAAGCTCACCTTGACCTTGGTAGCGGGTGGCTGCGTCGGGGGCCTGGCTCTGGGGGCTTCTCCTGCGGCTGGCCAGTCATGCTGCTCTCATGCTGCTGAGCAGGTGGGGAGAAGAGACCTGGGTCTGAGGGAAAAGGAGAAGGGAGGGTCACTTTCTCATCACTTAATCCTAGGTCGCCATTGCCTGGTGGAGCCCACTGTTCCTAAGCACAGAGTTCCTGAAACTTCGTTCGTCTCTCTCATGCGCCAGAGAAGGCAGTGAGCAGGCGAACACCCGACAGGCCTTCTAAGCTGGCTGTTGTGTCCGGAAGGACCCCGAGGGAGACGGTTAAGATGACTTAGACCACGTCCCCAAAACAGTGAGAAAGATTTAAAAGGGAAGCCAGGCGTGGTCGCATGCGCCTGTAATCCCAGCACTCTGGGAGGCAGAGGCAAGTGGATCATTGTGAGTTTGAGGCCAGCCTGGTCTACAAAACCAGGGAAGAGTCCAGGATGACCAGGGCTACAGAAAAAAAGAAAAAGAAAAAGAAAGAGAAAGAGAAAGAGAAAGAGAAAGAGAAAGAGAAAGAGAAGAGAAGAGAAGAGAAGAGAAGAGAAGAGAAGAGAAGAGAA